ACTCCAGAATTTTTATTTGCTTTGAGGATTGTTGGCATTCGTGGAGGGCCTGCATAACAGGCTCAGTGGCTATTTCTACACTGGTAAATGCATCCACCTGAATGTGGGATCACCAGTGCCAGGCCAAACTGTGCACTGCTAACCCATGCGCAGTCTCATCCATGTGCTTGGAAACGAATTACCCCTTGAGCAAACTATCCCCCCCTGACGATGTTTAAGCTTGTTTTTGACAGAAGTATCTGTGCAATACTTGAAGAGACCCTGGACATCAACATTCGTTTGCCTAGTATGGGCAATAAGAGGATCAAGACCTGGGGATATGCTATGAGTTATCTGATAGTGTAGATACACCTGAAGTGTTGTAGTCCTCAAGGGGAACAGTTAACTTGGGCATGTTTTATCGGGATGAAACGCTGGGTTGTGTTTAGCCAGGGCAGAGCCATTTTGTTCTATGCTCAAACGAGGGAAATGTCAGGAGCTCAACAGACTTGTGCCTCTCTTGATCCCCTCCCTTAACGGTGGGGCAGCCAGGCTACACATATACATCAGTTGCTGGCTGTGATAACTATTTGAGATGTTGGCTGCCAATCCTTGAGAAGAATTCCTTGCCTAAAAAATCGCTCACATTCAGAGCAGTGTCCTATCAGAGTTTAATACTAAGCTAGTAGCAATCACGAAAGAAACCAAAAGCTGTATCTTTCCAAATATCCAAAGCTCCAGAATGGATTCTAATTCAGCTATCAAGGTAGTATCAACCTAGAATTCAGTACAAAAGGCAACATGCAGCTGAAACTCTTGATGTGGGCAGAAATTTAGCCTCTGAGAGTACTGTGAGGCAGGCCCTTCATTAGCACCAGCCAATGCTTGGCAAAACTATGTCTTACCTTTCCCCTGCACACAGCCCATACTGCCTCATCACTGTAACAGCTGCGTTAGCAAAGAGCCCTCATACCACCTCTACAGTGTCCTGCCTCTGGAACAACAATACGAAAGCAAAACATCCCAGGAGGTGAAATGAGGTAGCAGAAACATGTAGGTGTTAGGACAGTGTGCAACAGCTCGCTTCTGATGTGAAGCTGTTTAGACAGACAGAGATTGCATGGCTGAAATATTTATGCATGGATATGTCGACACCATGCTGTGATGATTCCTTTCTGGGTGCAAGCTTAGGCCCTCACTATTGAAAAAGCAAGTGTTTCTAAGCAGAAATCTCTCAGCTGAGTGTGCTCAGGGATTGCTGCACTCTGGCAAGGGCATCATTTCTCAGCATTTACAAAATCTCCTGAAAATGGCATTTGTTAGAAGGGTATGGCTAACATCACAGTAGTGGTGCTACAGTATTTATATACTATCCTCAGAGAATTTTGTGTGTGTACCAGGGAGACACTTGTTCCCAACCCTACATTCAAATGTCTTCCTAACAATCTTATATTCTCTAATGTTAATAAGAGAAATATGCTGTAATTGCCTGGTTAAACCTCAAAATATTATGAGCTGCTCCCATTGTCTGGCTCCTGTAATATATTTTAGTGTTTGACTCATGGACAGCTTCTGCCATGCATACTCACATTGGTTAGTACCTCAGGGCTGCACCATCCAGCATCTTGCTGATTACAGTCCAAATGGTTTAGCCTGCAAGGAATCCTGTGTATCTGCATACACTCCATTTACTTTCAGAGGACGGCAGACTGCAGGGATGTACCCCCCAGTTTATGAGAACATCAACTGAAACTACAAACCAAACACATCGAAGCCATCATTCAGTTTTGCTTGTGATAAGCCATAGTCTCAGTGCTCAAGAAATAAACAGGGTAAACAAAGAAATTACAAGGGAATAAAGCACAACTTGGCTTATTGCATTTACTCACAGGAACTTCCACAGGGTTTTGTTTTGTTTGGGGTTTGCTAATGTTTTTCAAACTGAAACCAGATTTCCTGTAAAGAACGCAGCTAACTCTGTGGGGTACGCAACCGTGGAACACTATTGTTGTCCTAACTGCACACTGAGATGCACCAAGGTTTACAAAGCCCAGGGTGAGACATTCTCTAACTAGCACAAAAATGTGGGGCCGCACTGCAGTTCTCCGCCTGGATATTCATAATAATAGGCATGCCCTCATAATTCTCTGGTTTTCCTTTGCTGTGTATTCTCCCTGAGCCAGGGTTTGAGGAGAGTAACCAAGCTGACTTGTACAGGCCATGAGAGAAAGGGAAAAGCTGAAAGGCTAGCAGGGCAAGAAACTGAAAGGAGGAAGAAGGGACATTATCTCAGCCTGTACACTGGACTTGTGCAAGCCTAACATCTGCTCTGTTCACAGCAAGTGTGATTATCTAACATCATTATAGCAGTCTAGGCTGTACAGTTTTGGTTGCTAATTGCATGTTGTAGGTGATGATCACAAAACTATTTCCATATAGCTCACAATTGCATACTTACAGACATTGTAACACGTATCTGTAGTTCAGGCTGACATTCATTTTCCATTACAGGAAATAATGTTCTGCCACTCACTCTACTGCCAAGCTGTTCCTTTCTGGGCCAGAAGTCTCCATTTTGAACATCAGAATCAGGATGAATTGATTAGGAACACTTCAGTCAAAAACTCCTAGCTATTCCCAAGAACAAAACCCGTTAAAACTGACTGAACACTGCTGGTTTTAAATTAATTCTTACAACTGTTTAATACGAATGAGCATTTTTAGATTTGGTGCAAAGGTATGACATTAGCTGGCTGGTCTCTGTAGGGAAGAAAATATCACTGTGAAAATGTGTGGTTTTGCCCTCTGATAACTCTTATTTCACACACAATACCTAGTACAAGTGGACGGTGCTGAGTTCTAAAGTTTTAACTTCATGGTGGGAAATACCTTTTGTGCGAGAGCCTAATACTTGCACAACGTGCTGGGAAAGTGACAGATGTGAGTATGAGGCCTTTGCCAGAGCAAAAAGATTTAGAAAAAGAAGTATCAGGCTACCATACAGGGTCAAAAAAGACAGCAAATTACCATTCCCCCCCCCCCATTTCTGCTATTAAAATCAGGTAACTTAAGCTCTTGAAGTCTTAGCTAGGGTTCCCAAAGCAGCTTCTCTGCATGTGGCCCTGCATACCACATAAAATACATTAATTTTTCCAGCTTGCACACTGACCTTTGTAAGCACATAGTTCTTTAATGTGCTTTAAAACCGTTAATGACAACTTCCTTATGGCTAACAGGGGCTGTCCAGATGTGCAGCTCTAAGAGATTCTCTTGGGCTTCATAGCGCCAACGCACAGACCAGAGGAACTGCAAACACATTTCAAATTTCACTCCCCTGTACTGCAACAGCCACTTGCATCCCCTTTGCTGCCGGTATTCTTTACCCCATTAGTCAGAGCCGGGAGTTTCACGTGTTTGTTATATAAAATGCCACTCAGTGTGGTGCAACAGAGTTGCTGATGTTTCTGCACAAGCGTTCCTTTGACAGCTGTCCAGAGCAGAGGACGCAGGCCCAGGCCCCGCAGCACCCCTCCCCATTCCCGAAACATGACAGCCTGCTTCCAGCCCTGGCTTGGCTGCCAGCAGTGCCTGTCCAGAGCAGGTGCCCTGGGGAACTCTCTCCTTCCCTCCTTCCTCTGCCACCGCCTTCACCAGGCACAGCAGCCTCCAGCGCGGTCGGGGCATGTGGCACTGGACGACAGGCTGACCATGAGCCAGCAGTGTGCCCTCGCTGCCACGAAAGCTAATGGGATCCTGGGATGCATTAGGAGGAGTGTGGCCAGCAGGTCGAGGGAGGTTCCCCTTCCCCTCTACGCTGCCCTAGTGAGGCCCCATCTGGAGTACTATGTCCAGTTCTGGGCTCCCCAGTTCAAGAAAGATGAAGAGCTACTGGAGAGAGT